TTGGTTACTTGTGTTTTACTATATATACAACGAATGTAGATTTATTGCAACGGTTCAATGTTATTTTCAATATTTTTTTAAATATAAAAAATTGGAAACCGTTTGAGCATTTTTACGTTCCTGAGCCACTTATACAAATACTGGCGCGAGAGTTTTATTTTCTGTCTATTCATATTGCTTGATTCGGTTCAATTTAATTCTCCCCAACTCCATCTTTTAAAGTTCATCAAATTTCCTTCTACGGTAACTAATAGAAAATAGAAAAAGACATGTATATTTTATTTTTTCACTTTTAAATTTATGTTTTTTAAATAATTTCTGTTAATTTACTTTTGTTAAATAATTTTTATTTAATCATAAAAACTGTTCAATATAAATACAAATGTTATTTATTACATTTTTCATTATTTTGTTTCAATATGTTGAAATATTTGGTAAAAATACTTGATCGTAGGCGAAGAATGAAGTCGTCATTAGCTGCTCATTTATTTTTAAATAATTAATATTTCAACGAAATACAATTCATGAATTAAACATTTTAATTTGCAATGGTATACCAATTCGGCTTTATCTCATTATTTTTAATTAATTTGTTGGTTGTTGAAGTTTTTTTTATTAAACTTAATTGAATTCTATTGAAATGAACTTGTAATTGCAGAGGTAGAACCAACATTTTCAAAGACTTTGAAAGTAGCATCTGTAAATGAATATAAAAAGCCACCAAAAAACCTAAAAACTGATATAAAACATGAACCAATTAGCAAGGAAGTTTATTTGCCGTGGAAATCAAACAATACATTAGCCTCTATTTTGCCTTTAAGTGAGTAAACGTGTTATTACTTTTCTACTTTTTTACTATGCTTTTCAAAATCAGCTCAGTTTTGAACTACAATTTGATATTACAATCTGAAATCTTGAAATATTTCAACTAGCGACAATCTTTTGAATGTTCATTGTAACTATCTGCGTCTGAATATATATGTCTTTGTTTTCTTTTTCCATTATGAATTTAAAAAAAAATCATTTTATCGAACATTTCCGTCAATCTGCGACGAATACAGTGTGAAAATATTCTATTTCCCAACCTCCTTTCTTTTTAGTTACCTCCTTGCCTCGTTTTCGTTTGATGCATTGTAACGTTTTTTTATTGGTTTGTAGTTCTCCATACATTCTACGTACAAACTTTTCAGCATTTTTCAATTTTTTGCATCAACTTTATCTTTAAATAAATAAATAAAGATTATTAATAATTTGAATAATCATTCTAGTAAATATCATCGATTGTTTGACTTTGCTTAACTTTCATTTGTTTTAACAAATGTTACGAATTATTGGCGGAATAGTTTCTATTTTTAATAGGACAATCTATCGTTGCTTTTTCGACAAAGAAATTGTAAGAAATAGAAAATCATAATTAACAACGAAACCGAGAATGTTTAGTGAGAATTGAAAACAAGAACCTGCATGATGAAATAGGACAAAAATGCAGATCCAAGTTACAAATATTTCAGATTCCAAAATGATCTCGCTTATATTTTTAACGCTTGTCTTTCTGTGTTTAAATCAAATTGCGGCATTTATCAACTGGGTTTCAGATTTGATGCCAAATTGATTGCAGAGCTGTAAATTATTTAGTGAAGTGAAAGTGAAACAAAAAATTTTATAAAAATTAGAAAGTGGGTGAATAATTTCGAGAAAGAAATTTTAAAGATTTCAAAAATACAAAAATTGGTAGAAAATTTTAATTCTAATTCATCTCTAATAATAACCATTAAGTCATTTCCATATTCATTTATCTTCTCTATTATATACTTTTTTTAAGTTTGGTAATTGTTCTAAATGTTTTTTTAAATGCTCATATTGACTCGGCATTGAAACAACTTTAGCGATTAACAGTAGCTGAATAATTACATTCTCTGCTTATATAAATCAACCGAATGATATATATAATAATTTCATTCAACAGTATAAAACAAAACCGCCGTTAATTGATTTATCATTTTAATTATGACAAATATTTCAGATAATGGGGCAAAAAGACTACGTCAGCTAAATATCTGTAGCTTGCTGCTCTTTATAATATGTTGTTACCTGTTCAGCTTTTCATCAATAATAATTTTCTGTTTAGTTAATTATTTCAAGTCTATTTTGGTGTCTGAACTGTAAATTAAATTGTGATGATCGGCATTTCAATATAACTTTAAATTTTATTTATTTTTTTAAATTTTTGATGATTGTTTAATTAATCTTATTAATGTACATTAATTAAAAAGTTAAATCGAAAAACTATTTTTTGCGTTGTTTCAGATTTTTGTGCGAATTCGTAAAGGAGGAACACAAATTTTTATTCTAATCATCTTGTTTGCTAAAAAACAGATGTTATATATATATATATATTGTTATAGCCGCGGGAATAGTCAAATTTTGCTATATAATTAATTATTGTTATCTCGTTATATTTGCTATTTCGCTATTTGTCGATCAACTGTAAACCATAGAATCTTTTCATACCGTTGAGGCGCAGGAGTAGCGAAGTAAGGAACAAGATTTGAAGTGAAGTTGCAATTGTGATTTATGTAGTTACTCGGATAAGTTTGATGTTTCTATTACTGTTCAAATGAACGTTCAACAAAGTTTGCGTTTGAAGCAGTTGTGTTCATGTATCGCAAATGTTGAACCTATGGAATGACGATAACTTGACAATCGTTGAAACAGAACGATCGATCAACACACTGTCAAAGTGATTGGAATAATACGATCAGCTTTTGGAAGAACATCTCCTAATGATTTGATAATCAAAAATAATAGAAAAACAGCTACACAAGATCTTGAAAATCCTGACATCATCTCATTAGCTTATTCAACTACCAACAATTCAAGTTTATCCTTCCTACGGATGGTTTCAATTGTAGTTAGAAACAAGTCACTAATTTTAAATTTTTAGAACCCTATTTTATTTTGAAAAAAATGTGATGCATATACTATAACGTTTTTAATTTGAAAATGTCAAGCGCTTTAAAATGTATTCCACTTTTTTCTATAACCTGTTACGTTCTGCTTGAAAAAACCGTTGTCTTGTCGCCATATTAACTTTCGCTGTTAATAATGTTATTTTGGATTATTTGGAAGTCAATTTAATCATTTTTCAAAGAACACGATAAAAGAGTGAAGGTGAGTTTGATTACAAATTGTTTCAGTTTCATTAACCCATTAACGCCTAAAACAAAACTGCCAAGAGAAAAATATTACATTGTAAAAAAACGTATTGTTTAGTTAGTAGTTAAGTTAAGTAGGTCTTTAGGTCGTTATAGTTATAATGTTGTATTCATCATAATCAAAAAAATTAAATTTTGAGTTTACAAGTATTTTTTCAAAATAGACTTTTTCAATGCACATTGTTTTTTCACCTTTTTTTATACATCCTGAAATATGTAGCTAGTTGCACAAAAAAATGCATGAAAAAATTTTTCAAATTTATTTCCATAATCTGCAACTCTTTAGCAATATAACAAGCCCAAATTTATATATATATATAATATATATATATATATATATATATATATATATATATATATGGAACAACATAAAACATAACATAAAACTAGTCCTGGGCATGACATAAAACTGCATCCACGCTGCCTTGCGTGCTTTTGAGCAAAAGGCTAGGCTCACCAATGAATGGAGGCAATGGAGAATATCCGAATGAAGAAAACCTTCTGGAAAACCGATTGTCGATCAGTCCATTGAGATGCAGTTTATTTAGAGTCAGACCATAGTAGAGCGAGTTACAATAATCAATCCTAGATCAGATTAACGAAGTAACAAGAAGGAGAAAAGTAGGATCATCAAGAAAAAGCAAAAGTTTTTTTATTTCCCGTAGATGAAAGTAAGAGCTTCTAGCAACACTATTAATCTGAGAAGAGAGAGACATAGTAGAATCAAAAATAAAACCTAGACTACGAAACTTATGAGAGACATCAAGAGTTTTAGAATCAGGTAAGAATAGGAATAGAGTGTTTAGATTTATTAAAACAAATTAATTCAAACTTATCCTCTTCTCAGGATTAAGTTTAAGACACATAGAGTCAGACCAAGCGATAACTGAAGAAAGATATAGAGATAGATTATAAAGAACACTATTGAGATTAGAAGGAGGAAAAGAGGTATAAATGTAAGAATTATCAGCCTATAGTTGACTAGAAAAAGAAAAGTTATTAATAATACGAGGTAGTTCAGAAAAATAAAGTATAAATAGAAGAGGGCCAAGGATAGAACCCTGAGGTACCCCGAAAGTAAGAGTAGAGGAGTTAGAAGTAGAATTATTGAGAACAACAGAAGAAAAACGATTGCAGAGATAAGAAGAAAACCAAGATAGACAAGAATAGACAAGAATCAGTAATATTAAAAGAAAGATGTAGCAGTCTCAAGAGAATAGTGTGATCAACAGTATCAAAAGCCGAAGAAAAGTCAAGAGCAAGAAGAAGAGTAAGATTACTATTGTCACTAGAGAGAAGAATATCGTTATTTATTTTGAGTAAAGAAGTTTCAGTATATTGTGAATAAAATGGATTAAAAAAAATTAAAGTATTTTTTATATAACAATTTTTGCAAAGTTTTGTTATTGTTTGATTGGTTTTATTTGAAGGTTCAATTGGCTGAATATGAAACGGGCTATTCACATATTCAACAAATTTGTTCCAATCTCTGTTAATATTTTTTATATAATTGTTAATAATTTGATATGATTTTTTAATCCAATTTAATAAATATTTAAACTTATCATTGAAATTAAAATGTTAAGGTTTTTAATTCTTGTTCCACAGCCATCAATTTTGGATTTTTTCTTTCTTGTTTTATGACCAAGTAATAAATAAAACCATTCTTCAATGGTTTTGATTGGTTGGAGAAATTCTCTTCTACAAAACTTTTCAGAACATCTATTGCATAAATTTTCTGAACCTGAGACATGTTTAAATATGGAAGTAGATTTTAAAAATCAA